CGCAAATCACATGGTGAGTGTAACCACACGACCAAGAGAACCAGCTTCAGTCAGAAAATGGGTGTGCCATGGGCTTCCCTGGTGGCGCAGTGGTTGAGAGTCCGCCTGCCGATGCAGGGGACACGGGTTCGTGCCCCGGTCCAGGAAGATCCCACATGCCGCAGAGCGGCTGGGCCCGTGAGCCATGGCCGCTGAGCCTGCGCGTCCGGAGCCTGTGCTCCGCAGCGGGAGAGGCCACAACAGTGAGAGGCCCACGTAAAAAAAAAAAAAAAAAAAAAAAAAAGAAAAGAAAAGAAAATGGGTGTGCCAACACCCATGTGTCAGATGTGTCAGACATCCACGTTACCTGGGTTACCTTAGGGCAATCAAAATATTATGAACTTAACCTTGACTTTCTAGTTGCGGAATGTTTTTTAATTTTTAATCGTTCCAACTTTATATTCATAAAAACACCCCCATTTGTATTCATTTACTTACTCTCCCTCTGCCCTCTGACCAAAAAAAAAAAAAAAAAAAAAAAGCTACTGTTCACTTAAGTACCAACCAAGTTTCAAACACTGTAGGAATTATCCTATAGTGTATTATCTCATTTAAACTTTACAATCTTACAAGGTAGCCATTTTTCAGAAGAAGAAATTGAAGCTCAGATATAATAATGACTTACCCAAAGTAAGAAAGCTCCTAAGTGGAGAGGCTGAAATCCACACTGGAAACTACATGACACCAGTTACTGAGCTCTTATCAAGGCTGACACCGCCCCTCACAAGAAGATTTCCAAAGTGAGGAACTGGCCGGGTATAGAAAAGGGTATCAGTACGAGGGCAGAGGTCAGGTGCAGGCGCATCTCCGGAGTCAATCGCCAAACCATCCCTCCCCTTTAACTGACCATTACACATGAAGTTCTCATACCAGAAAAAGGTAACTGCTTTATTGAAAGCAGACCTAATAGATACAAATCATTTCAAATGACAGATTAAACACAGTAATCCCAGCACAGGGACCTAAAGATACCAATCTCAGTGAGGAAACATTAAAGGGTTTGTAATAATTATACTCAGCACAAATTCTCAGCAACAGGATGGTGAGCCACAGTTAGAGCGATTGTTGTATACAGAGAGATGGGACAGGAAGATCTGGAGAGGATTTTACTGCAGCCCTTGTTGTACGTTCTGGCTACATGCAAAAGACATGGGCATCCCAGACAGATCATTTGAGCTATGTTTCAATTAGATCCCGGCTCATCTTTGTCTTGTAATGATGAGTTCATGTACTGTGAAAGACTAAGAGGTCCTTCGTGTGTGCGTTTTCCTTTCAGAAAAAATGGATACATCAGAGATTATAGAGACAGAGAAAATCAGACTGCAGTACCAATTCTCTGCCTAGCAGCGTTGGGGGAAGCAACACTGTGCCCAGGTCCAGGCCAATGCAGCGAAGCCAAATAAAGGGAGGAGAGAGCAGGCGGTCATATGCAAGGCAGAAATGACTAGAAGACCAAGGTAAGCCTTAGCAATGCATTTGCCAGTGCCTCACACTAAAAAGGGGGGAGGTAGGAATAGGGTTAAAAATGTTTGTTCTGGGATTTAGGAAGACGTATCAACACCATTACCTATTTTCATTCCTTTAAAGGGATGAAACATTAGAAACCTTCTCTCCTTGAGTGCTTCTGTCTCTTTAAGAATATATTTTGAAAGATTATAGAAATTCTCATCTAAAATTCTGTGATTAAACCAGAACCTTAGTTTTACAGAAAACTGAAGCCGGGAAAAGTTGGATGAGTTTGCCCAGTATCCCAGAGAAAAAGTGAGTTTGGATCCACGAACCAGGTCTCTGTCCAAAACAAGAGTATAGATATCCCCATTTGATTTCAAAGTTCCAAACCCCAAGGTAGACTTCAGGTTAATATATTCAAACTGCCTCAGAAACATTTGAAAGCATCTCCTTACTAAGTGACCCACAGGATGGACCTAGTGAATACAGAGCAAACCAATTTTCAAAAGCCAAGGAGATTTAAAAAAAAATAATAATAAAGCAGAAAGATTACTCTAAAGAATAAAAGAGGAAACTAGAAAAACACAATGTGTGACCACTGATTAGTTCTGCCTCAAAAAATTGTAAAGAATGTTACAGGGAAAGAACAAAATTCAGACTGAATATTGTGAGTAGGTAGTAGGAGAAAATCCCTTTTTTTGTTGGTTTTTTTTGGGGCTGTGCTGTGTGGCTTGCAGGATCTTACTTCCCCTACCAGGTACTGAATCCACGCCCTGGGCAGCGAAAACACGGAGTCCTAACCGCTGGACCACCAGGGAATTTCCAGGTAGGAGAATATCCTTGTTCTTAGGAAATACATGCTAAAGTAGTTAGGGGTGGGACATCTGTCACAATGACTGCAACTTCAAACAGGTCTCCCCACAAATCTGTGTGCTGAGGGGGAGGGGAGGGGGAGGGCGTGAAAAATGTCAATGGGAAAATTTAGATGAAATCTGCTTGAACTATAATTTCAACTTGTCTGTAGGTTTAACACCTTTAAAAGTAACATGATCATAGAAGGGAAAAAAAAATCACCTGTAATAAAAAATGAAACAGAAAAAAAATTTTTTAAACATTGTGGTGGTAGAGAAACACAAACACATATCCTAGGACATCGTCCTATATTCAAAATAAGTGTGGGGTTTGGAATAGCTAAACAATATTATTCAAATAGCTTCCTTGCATTTAATAGGATCTTCCATTGAAGCAGCAAGATAATTATTGTTCTAAAGTCTCCTGTGGCTTTTATGAAATGTGAGACTTGCTATAAAAATCGGCAGAAAAAAAATTATGCAGGTTAAGCTTTTGGTGATTTGAACAATAATAAAGTTATGGACTGGTTCTTAGCTGCTCTTTTCATCAAAGCATTACACACTCTTCTCTGACTAAACCTGCGTTACTTCCCTTTCTGAATGTTATGTAAGACCAGCTTTAACAAGTCCCAACTTGAGATCGGCGTTAACGTGCTTCAAGACAAATGCATAAAGGGTGCCTCATGCTAACTTTCTCACTACAAGACTTTGCATCGCCAGCCAAAGAGGCTTTTAAATGCACAATCCCACTGTGACTAAGGCCAGGAAAAGGCTAGTCCATGCCCAGCCCAGCCCACCCTCAGGAGGAGAAAAGGAGGGCCACCTATTGCACTGACACCAGCTCCTTCCCTCCTCCTTGTGGAAACTTAATGCAAAACCAACACATACAAAGTCAAGGTGTATAACCCTGAATTATCAAAACATTTCCCTTCAAATTCAAGACAGAATAGTATATGAAAAATATTATCAGCAGCGATGTAACAAAGGAAAGGTATTTTCTTTAACATGAAAAAACAAACAAACAAAAAAAAACCGTATTAAGTTAGTTGGCAGTAATAGGATGAAGTTATTAACCCAGGGTAACAAATGTATTAACATTTAAGGTAGATAACAGAACTGCCTTTATTCCCTCAACAGGAGCTTGTGAAATATTTGTCCACACAAGCTCCTCCACATGAATTCATGCCCACCACTGGAACTGTGGGGTGATAATCCTCAGAACTTGCAGAGAAGGTCTTTGCCCAACATACTTTTAAGGAGGCTAAACGGGATGTGCTCCTTTGAATTGATGCTCTTAAGACTGGCAGTTGGTTATTCTGGCAGTTAGAGTTCCCATTTTGAGCAGTACATCATTTACTGTTTATGGATCATAGTGACAAATGGCAAGAAGAGCAACCCCCAAAAAAACAAGTCTCTCAAACTCAGGCCTGCATGGCATAACTTCCCCACCCCCACCCCCCCAAGATGCAGGGAACTGGCTTTAAATGTTCAAAGTGAAATCCCTGGAGAAGCAGTACCAAATGGCACAAAGCAGAGTCCAACCTAAACAAAGGATGGTTTAGTAAATACGGCAATTTCTTATACAACTGAGCCACTATTAAGTTGGCTAATTTTTCTTCAGAGACTTTCCCTAGGGCTAGCTAGCTACTCATCCACAACATACTTAATCCACCCTAAATAGAATGGAATGGAAAACCATTCAATTTTAGTTGTCCGTTTTTGTTTGTTTAGGAAAAGGCAACAGAAGAAACAAACTTTTGATATTCAACTACTGGTATTTAAATTAAGTACATTTGTTTTTCTGCATAAACACGGGGGAAAAAACCCAACTAGTACATATACATTATTTCCTTAAGGCATAAGTAAACACTAAGTAATACCTATTATTTATTTACTAACTTCAAAAAATGTTCCACCTTAATTATTTTCATTTATCTTTCTCTTCAACCATGATAGTAACAAGTTTTGATTTCATTTGGTGACATTTCCTTCATTTCTTTTACTTGTTTGAATGTTGCATTCAAGAAAATCTTGGAGTCTCTGGGAAATTTTTGGGAAGTTCTAAAATCAATTAATTACAAACAGGAAAAAGTGATTCGATTGTATAAATTTATCATTGTGGGAAGATTTTTTTAAAAGAATAAAGGTTGTCTTGTGGAATTCAAGAGATTAGGTAAACTCGCCCCCTAAATAACGTTATTTAAAATATTTTCGTGTAGGTGAAAGCAGGTTATATGGAATTCAGCAGATGCTTGAATAAGACAACAGGTTTCCCAAGTTATCGATCACTAGTATAAACACATCTTAATTTAAGTCTTTAATATATTGAATAATACCATGAAAGAGCTGTCTTTTATAAAAGATATTCTGGTTCCTTTTAATCCAAAGTTTAATTAGCAGGAACGTTTGTAAATGCATATTTTCTGATTAGTAATAGGGAGTTCCCCTCCCACCCCTCAAAAGACCCTAAACACTGGGTCTGATTTAACAGGGCCCAACGTGAGGCTTGATGCCTTCCTCCTCCTTAAACAGCCCTCTGGCACTGTGGGTTCCAGCCCTCTGTGTTCCCTTCTGGTGAATCACCATCTGATTCCTGCAGGTTCAGGAAATGTTCTTCCCCAGTCTACAAATCTCACCTACTCTCAGGTGTGAGTCATTTCTATTAGCAAGAGAGCAAGTTGCTCCAGTTGTTTCCGAGCAGGAGAGTTTGAAAGGGTGCCCCAAACAACAATCTCAAGGTGGGTAGGGGAGCACCTACCTTCTCTGGCAGGGGAAAAAAAGCTTATTTTTTACGCTTTGACAAAAAAAAACAACTTCCCTGCCAACCTTAGGTTCGAGGTTCATTCTTAATTAGAGTTGAGAAGCCTGTTTCGACTTGAAGACACCCGTATCAGGTGAATGGAGAGCCAGCTACCGCAATGAAAGGTAAATGAAGTTGTTTTTTTAAAACATTTTCTTAAAAGCCATGGTTGGTAGGACGCAGCACTGATTAAGAGTATAATTATACCTCTACTTAAATCTGAGGTCTGAAGAAAAAGTGGGGGTTAGAATGCTAAGTGGATGAGATCCACAAGCTCTCTTTGGGAGGAACCACTTTCTGAAATGAGAGTCATCGTGCTTCATGGAACTTCACGGTTTCCAGCTCAGGCAGGCAGGTGATGCAAACTGTGCACTGTGCCTTCAAACGTGGAAACGATATTTTGGAAATCACTTCTACTAAGTGGATTTTTAAATCACATTTGCTTTATTAGTTGAGTAAAATCCAAAGTCCCTTATAATTGTTTCCCAAGACCCCAAACTGAAATTTGTTTCATTCACTTTTCTTTTAAAAAGAGATCAAGAGAAAAAAAGATGATTTTCTCTCCTAACTGCCTCATTTTGATAAAAGAATCTCAATCGTTTCGTTGTAACACAAAGAACAGGGCAATCCTCTTTCTGATTCCTTAAGAGATCATGTTAAAACATGTCAGCAAAGTCACTGAGAAAACTGCCTAACTAGTGACAAACGGCTTAGGAACAGCTTAGGTCTGGTCCACGTTCAAAATCGTGGGGAAGCTTTTACTTCGTTGAGGGAATCAAGAAGCCAGAAAGGAGATCTGAACTATTCTAAGTTATAATAAGGATTTTGAAAGATAGGTGAGCCTAAGGTAGGGTGACTTTTCGATTTACTAAGTTAAGATTTATCTGCTACGGAATTTTCTATCGTATTCTCAAAATGAATCTGCTTTCAAGTTAGGTATATTACCATTTTTTAACAAAGACTTTCTTTCATAATTCTGATTAGAGACTCCGATTTACTAGCAAAATGAACAACAAAAACTTTGGTTCCATATTGCCAAACGGAGCCAGACACTTTTTATTTTATACTATTATCTTATTTATACTGTATTGTTATTTCTGCCAGTTCAAGGTTAACAGTCTTTTCCTCCTTGAAGCTAGGGACCAAGGGGACGTGTTATTTTAGTCCTTCAGCAAAATCCTATCCTAAGACTACTGTTTCCCACACCTATCCAAAAAGTGTTCCAGGTATATGTGGGTTAAGAAGAAGGGGCTGGGGGAGCAGTTAGATTGCTGAGTACCATATACTTAAGGAAGTAGCCTAGAAAAGAAAAAGTGATTAGTCAGAAAATCCTAACTATTTCATGAAGAGACCCAGGCAAAAATTTCCTGGCTAGAGACAGAATGTTGAGAGGGCTTATTACGCTCCGGGATATGGGTGGGAGATGGAAAACTAAATTAGAATGGATGTTTTTATTTAGGTTAGCGGTATCTGTGCCCCCCTTCAGAGTCCGTCTACTTTCCTTCCTTCCTTGATATCTCAGGGTTTCACTTCCTTTAAGAACAAAAAATGTCACCCGTAGCCCTGTCCTCTGAAAAAATGCCACAGGAACTTAAGACAGAAGAGACAGGAACGACCATTTGTTCTCTGTACTCCTGTAAGCTGAGGAAAAGCTAGGAAAACCCATGAAACGCCCTCAGAGCCCAATAAAAGGAATGACGGTGAAGTCAGGATAGAAGGGAGGTGAAATTTAGGCGAAATCACCTGGGAGCATCCCACAGTCTCTAGGGGGCTGCTGTGTGCACAGGATGGGACAGGACTTTGGTTTGGAGCAGAAAGGCCAGCCGGGGTTTTGGCGTTGACAATGTCAAAAGTTACGTCCGACTTGAGCCTCTTACTTCCTCAGGAGCTCACTGACGCCTCTCACAGTAAAATGAGGGGATTAGATCGGATGGTTGTTCGAGGCCCCTTGTATGGCTAGATTCCCACGATCCAGGTGATGTGCTGAGGCACTAGGGTTGGTTAACAAGAACCCAAGGCTTGAACCACATGCAGATGCTGGAGGGGACACTGTAGAGTCAGTGATGAGGAAGAAGACTGGTCCTCCCCTTTTCTGTCCCAGCCAGCTATGTGATGTTAATCAAATCTCCACCTCTTTAGAGGCCCCAGATTCTTCCTCTGCAAGGCAGAGATGAAGACAGTCTGCTCCTGCTTCCTCGGGTGGGAAGTTCTGCATCAGTACAAGCGGAAGGGCCAACTGCAGTTCCTAGAGCTGTTGACTATCTGAAGTAGACAGGAGAGAGCAGAGGCAACCCAGACTCTGTGGTTTAAAACCAGATGAGATGAACCACGTGGAAAACATCACAGTGAACAAGAAACGAGAGGCAAACCTTCTGCTTCAGGCCACTGATTAAAGCCAAGCCCCTATCCAACCTGGCAACAATTTCCAAACTTTCTAACCTCCTCATACGTGGGCAGAACAGACGCTTATTCTTCCTCTTGTGCGTAATTAGCACGTCTTAACTTTCATTGACTTGCTTGTTATCCAAATGTGAAAAATGCATCTGAAGGAGAGCTCTGATAAAGTTTCACTTGGTATAAGCCATCACATTAAGTCGTACGTATCAGTGATTCCATAATTTCTCTTGTAAGGCAATTTCTAATAATAATTTCCAACATTTGGGAAGAAGGTAACTCCTTAAATGACTTTTTCTAATGTATTAGATAGAACTCGTGCGACACAACCTGTCCTTCTAAACCTTATTATTGAAACAACAATCACTAACATGCACTGACACCTTAATATATGTCCAAGACTACGTCACATTTTAACATAGATTATTTTTTTTAGAAAACCTCACACAACCTGAAGACACATACTGTTACCTCCGTGTTACAGGTGAGCAAATTGAGGCTTAAGTGGTATGCAAGTAAGCAGCAGAGCTCTGACCTTGAACCACGTCTGCCTGCAGTCAACCATGCTCTCAGTCACTACTTTTTAGCGTTCTAAGCAAACTCAGTATTTGCTATTTGGGACCTCTTTTTTTTTTTTGGTCAGTAACTTAACAGGTAAAATTGTACCAATTTGTGATTTATTTTCTGTACTACTTGACTGAAGTAGATAAGTGGCTGTCTTGGGCACATGATGCCCTACAATCAAGTTGGAGCTACTTGATTACCTAGTCTGCCCAAAGGAGAGACATCAGATTATAATCAACACATGAACCCCCCGCCCCAGGCTGCGCAGAAATAGGAGCAAAAGAGTAGCTAAGAGCCCAGCACTTGGACCGACCTCTGTTCAAATCCAGGTTGTGCCCTCACCAGGTGTGCTAGCCTGGGTGAGCTCCAGCGGCACATGTCTGCTGAAGGAGCCTCTGCAAGCCTCAGTTTCTTCATTTGAAAAATGGGCGTACTATTCTTACTACCACTCAGGAAGCATCTATACAGTGAGCTTTTCCAAGATGCCAAGCTCCAATAAAAGATCTATAAGGCTTGAATGACATAATACTGTGGTAATACCTCATTCAATCCCCAAATCAATCCTATATGAATGTTTTACAGAAGAGGAAACTGAAGCATAGTGGGGTTAGATGACCTGCCTAAGTAAGCGGCAGATCTGCAATTTGATTTCAATGTCTTTTTGATCAATTAAAATTTATCTTAGGGCTTCCCTGGTGGCGCAGTGGTTGAGAGTCCGCCTGCTGATGCAGGGGACACGGGTTCGTGCCCCGGTCCGGGAAGATCCCACATGCCGCGGAGCGGCTGGGCCCGTGAGCCATGGCCGCTGGGCCTGCGTGTCCAGAGCCTGTGCTCCTCAACGGGAGAGGCCACAACAGTGAGAGGCC